GTGAAACACGGTTGTTGTAGTTTTACAAGCATGTTTCACAGCTTGAATTTCATTGCCTTTTAAAACAATGTCACCTCCACAGAGAGGATGGCAAAGCTATTTTTTGAAAGTAATTTGTCACTTTTTATTATGTTACTACTATCATGCACAACTTTTTGCTCATCTAACATAATCCAAATAACATTATTAAAGTTTATAGCTGTAATGAGACTCAATGTAAAATAAGAAAGCATTAAGAAGGCACTGCATGGCACTGACAAGCTCACAAGATGTTGATATGTGGAGAAGGTTAAAATTAGGAGAAATAATGTTGCAACAGTGGGAAAGAAACTAAGCAAATGAGATGCAATGAATGGATACTTAATAGTTGGTCTTAAGAAAGGTCAGGCAGTTTAAGAAGGTTGGATTTGACCTCACTGTAGAACTATTAAATAGGTGCAGGTGATAGAAAACTAAACAGGTTGCTGTCTTTTTAATAAATCAGCTTCCTCATGCACGTTCTTCTGAGTATAAAAGTAGAAGATTAAAGCTGTTTAGGCTACAGGAAGAGAGCTATTAAACTCTTCCAGCATATTACCTTTACTAGGAAAAACATCAGAAGAGAATTTTTCAAGTCTGATAATCAAAGTTATATTCAAAAGCTTGAAAACCTGTGTATGTAGCCTACTTACATCGCTTTGTTCTTAGTTATACTAACAGCACCCTGCTCACTTCCCTGCTTTTAGCCCCAAACAGTGTATGCCAGGACTAGACGAGGGACACAGGAGTCAGCTATGGGGGGGCTCCTATCTTCTGTAGATTACCAGCAGAAACAGATTTATCATGTTCCCTCCCGCTGTCTCTTTGTTAGATCAGTTTTAATTTATCTTTACAGGCCTAAATCAGAATAATTTATGAATTATTCTTAATTTTCTTCTTTTTCTTAGAAAAGCTGATAACTTCTCATTAGCATTATAGACCGTCATAGAAAGTTTAAGAACAGTAGTTCAGGTTGCATTTTAATTTTTTCTCCTTATAACATGTTTTGGCTAAATTTACAGTAATTATATGCTTTGATGGTTATCGTGAAAAGGCAGACAAATAGGGGAAGCTGTTGTTCTGGGTTATGGGTAATCTGAACAGTTGCATATTTAACAACAATGACTTCATAAAAGGTTTAATAAAAGGTAATTAAAAGGTTGAAGTTTGAGTACTTTTAATTTTGAGGGTTCAAGTTGTGTTCAGGCATTATTCCTCAATGAGAATTTTATTTTAGTCCTTCAAACCAAAACAATTTGGGTTTACCTCCATTTGAGGGTCAGATACTTCCTCTCTGAAACCTGAGAGAGCCCAACCTAAAAATCCTAGAATATTTTTAATGGATATTTTGTTGAAAAAATATGCCTCAAACTGCATTTTTCTTTAATCAGTAGCAAAATGACTGCACTACTTAGGAAACATGAATTAAAAAATACAACCTGTGCTGTATAGCTTAGATTCCAGGTGTGTGATTTAATTTATTCCTGTAGTTTTAGCACATTTTTTACCAATTTACTGATAAATTCACATTCTAAATAATGACTCATTACTGATTTCACCAATAAGAACAGCAACAGAGAATGGTTAGAATGCAAATAGATAGGGTTTACCTTTATCTCTATGCACATTTAAACGTAGTTGCCTATTTTCTCTGTGCAGTTTCATGCAAAGGACGATATGGAGGTGGCTCACACAATGATTTTCTTTCATCACATTGTGTTTACTGCCCTCTCCCTGTCACCAACACTTACCATAAGTCTGGCAATTGTGAGAGAAGTGTGTGATTGTGGATTCGAGGTGGCACCTGTTCTTTGAAATTCTTCTAATATAACCCTCCACTGTGTAGGTTTAAAGTCATGAAAGAACATAAAAACTGCAGAGTCAGCACAAACATGGTCCATGTAGGCAAGTAGTTCAGCTTCTTCACTTCACACAGACACACACACACACACTCAGATTCTGCCTAACTACATACACAGCCTCTGCAGCATCTGCAGCAGCAGCGTTCTCTGCTTCAGATAAAGGCCCCATTTTATTATCAAGGACACTCGACCATGGAGGGTAAATGGGTGCATTACTGCACAAAACTAAAACATGTTTGTGACAATACATGTTGTTTTTAGATCTGTTGTCCTGTGATAGGCCTCACACCTCATCAGTCCTTTTCCTTTGGGAACATGGAAACCAGATTTGCAGGGAAATTAAGAATGGATGCATCCTCAGAAACCTACAATGGCCGGTATTATTTGGGGAAAAGGTTTCAGTGACAAATAGGCGGGTTTTTTATGAGTACAATGGTTTTCTTAAGGGTTATATTTTTTAGACAATCATTATAGGAAGATTTTTTTTAGATTTCTCCTCTGAAAATGCTCCTGTTTTGTTCACATCCTACTAGTATAAATGCTTATTTCTGCACTTTTGACCATAATAATCTTATTCTTAAAAGAATTCTAGAACGTGAACGGAAACTATTATCTTAATAAATGAGTCCACATACCGTAAAAAAAATGTATAAAGGCAAAATAGTGCCAGAGCCGTCTTTGGTTTTGCACATTTCTTCTCTGTTGGTTGGCCACATGAAGAAAGGTCAATGGCATGCAGCAATAGCTAAAATAACTACTACATTTCCAAACATATACGAAAACTCGGAACAAAAACACACCAAAGGTTGTGACTCACGCTGTGTTTATGCATGATATAGCTGAACATGTCAATGATGTGTACAGGCAATGTATTGCCATCTACTGGGATGGGGTGTTATTTTACAACTAGTGGTATCCCATTTCTTAGGGAGAAAATCTTCCCTTGCACTTCCCTCATTGAGTGGACTTCACCTTTTACATTTAGTCACTGAAAATCCAGATATGTACATTTAAAAAATGTATTGGAATGTATGTGACCAACACAAACTGTAAGAAAAATGGTGAATGGTACTCTAAACAAAAATGTCCATGCCTTGTTACACTGTCCTAATTAGAATAAGGTTAAACACTGGAAATGTTGCAGCCATGCTGTCCATAGAATCTGCAACGTTGAAACTGTTTTTCACCAACAGGTTAGTTTGGCTTTAAATGACGATTATATACCAAAGGCAATTAAATACAAACTAAGTCATTTTAATCAAAATTACCCAAGTGGAGCACCAGTTTTCAGAAATGAGTAGCCAAAAAAGTCTAAGTCTCTGTCAGGTTATTATTAATAAATACCTACCCAGTCAGGTTGGCTGGCAGGGGACATATGCCTAGACTGGCTCAGATGTCAGAAGTGCAGAGATCAGTCAGCTTCAACGCCAACTTCTTTGAATCAGCGGAAGGAAAAACGCTTCATAATTAAAAACAAGCCTCTCTTCTTGTAGAATCTTTGGCTTGGATTTTTTTTCTTCAAGAGCTCAGAGAGCCAGTTTCAGTCTCCTATTTGGAAGAGGTACAGTCCCATAAAAAATAAATAAATAAATATACCCTCACTTTACATTGGCTCCAAGGTTTAATCAAAGATGCAGTCTGTACCTGAATGTGCTCCATGCGGGGCTGCAACATTTAGCATGAAGCTCACTAAGTCAAATCTTGTTCTCTACTAAAGAATTCAGCTTCTTCCACATGCTGCAGTAACCTAGATGACTTCTGACAAACTACAAAGAAGCATTTTTATGGCTTTTTTCCCCTGCTTCTCCACAGAGGGTCATGCTTTATAGAACACACTACTATATAGTTGTACAATATGTTGTAGAACCTGTTATCAGTGCCCCCAAGTCAAGCCATGGATCTCTGCATTTCTTGCAGAGTTGCAGTGGGTCCCAGCTTAAACCATTACACATCAAAATATGCCCCCCATCTTGATACTGCCACCACCGTGTTTGATCATGGGGATGGTGTGTTTTAGATTAATGAGAGGTTTCAGTTTTCCGTCATACAGAAAAATATGCATGTAGGCCTGTTATCTTTAAACCTGATCTTAGTGCTGCTGTTTTATCTCTTATGCCTGTTTACTGATTGATTATCTCAAAAAGCTATTTGAAATGTCTAATCACCTGATAGGTGCTATATAAATAGAGATCAGTTGATAAGCACATCACTCAAAGCTTAAGCTTTTGCTGCTGGTTTTCTGACTTCATTTTCTTCCACACAGTAGGTCTATCTATCCTAAAGAATAAAAACATCATTAATCCTCCAGTGGCTTTGGGTGGCAACAAAAGGATCTCAAAGGAAGGAGTTGATTTATGGGTAAATGGCTGCTACCATGACAAGTAAAGTAATGGGAGACAGCTCTTTTTTTTTTTTTTTTGTTAACAGTGTTTGCCTTCACAGCGCAACATGAACATGGAGAGTGAGAAAGGACATAACAATAATGCTTCACTTAACCATGTAGTTTTCACATTACTACGGAGGAGAATAGGTGCAAAGATGAGGGATGTGTCTGTCCATAGTTTAGCTACTTTGTGGAAGTGGACACTTTTATGAAGCAGGTTATTAGCAAGTGTGTATGTGCCGCTGGGATAAAGAAAAACCAAGTGAGGCAGTCAGGGCTGTTTTCAGACAGCCGAGGTGAGTGAACAGGCAAAAAGCAAAGACAAGACAGTCAGACACAAAGAGGCTTCTTACATTTTCTGACTCAGATCCATGGCTTGGTTTGGCAGAGCTCCATATCTCCTGAATTGCAGTGTGAGAGGGTTGATGGGTTTGTGTGTGATAGCTGAGAGGAGGCTGCAGGATGTGAACAAGCGTCCCAGCCAGCTTCCCTTCAGTAAGACTTGTTCAAACGGGCTTTGGTCTCAAACGTCAGCTTCTGTTTTAGAAATGGGTGCAGCTGCTGAGATGAGTCTCACCATGCTGGAAAAAAAATAATAAACAATAGAGGGTTAAGAGGTTTGCATTTAATAAAAGATCAGAAGAAGATGTTTCAAATGTCTTTTTTTATTAGATTATTTAAAGGTGAACTCTTATTTAGTCCACCTAATGAGGCTTGCATTCCTAATTATTTTTCAGGCAGACCAGGGAGCAGGAAACGCCTCCAGATTTCTTCTACTTCTCCGACTTTGAGAGACACAATTCTGAAATTGCTGCTTTTCACCTGGACAGGTAAGCCTTGCTATGGTTTCCCTCTGCCTAAACTCATGTTTAAGTCATCAGTGTTCGATCCACACAAATAATCTACAAGTGCTGGATTTGCCCTGCAACAAATTTTATAGGATTAAGTACACAGGATTTGATAACGCTCTTGGAGAAGGGATTATCCTGTCTGTTTTCGGTTGAGTATATTGATTTTAGTGAGATCCTTTGACTCAGAGAATGATGCTGGGAGCATGGTCATTATTATAGACTTGCTTATAGGGTGAAACTCGCCCTCTATTTTGAATTGGCTTTCTTTTACATGTGTTGCCCGGAAGAGCTAGATGTGTGTCTCATTACAACCAGATAATAGGTTAAGCACTGCAGGGAGGTGCTTGTTACCCCTAAAGAGCAGTTTGCCTGCTCCATTTATTGTCTTGTACAATTATTTAAGCTCAGGCTACCAGTCAGCCAGTGCTATATGGTTGATTCAAACTGCAAATGGAATGGAAAGAAACATCCAATTAGAATGGGAATACGTCAATTAAGCATTTTAAATATATATTCAACTTAAGAAGTTGATCAGTTTCTAATAGAACCACTAATTAGTTAATCGTCAATATAAATTATAAATATAACATGACACATGATATAATTTTGTTTGCCTTCAGGGTTAATAAAGCTTTTTTTTATCTGAATTAAATGGCTTTTAGGCATTGGTCACTTTACTAGAGTAGTATCTATAACCAGTATCCTTCTGACCACAAGCATAAAGCCTTCATATCTGACCCCTAGAGAACTACAGCAAAAAGTGGAATCAGGGTTGGCACAGTGGTGTCATTCTGTATGATGATACTGAGGTTGAGAACCTTTTAAATTAAAATTCTTGTTGGTTTTTGAATCAAAGGAAAACACTACCTCATGTTTACTGTAAAGAACAATAAAGAATCTTTGTATTTGCAGGTCTATTTCTCCTCTAAATGACCAAAACATTTAAAGGTGACTCTTTAGCTCTTGGGTGTATTAACCCACCGAAAGGATCACACCAACCTCCAGTTTCTGCACTGGTAAATAAGCGTATCTCTGCTATCGAACTACAAAAATGTTCATTTGCACATATTATACAGTTCCACTTTATATAGACCACAACTGAACGATTTTAAGTATGATATGTCCGCTTTAAATATAAATTGTGTGGTCTCTACCATAAAGCTGAGAACAAGCATGTATTAGGTCATTTAACAGGATAATAAAACAAAGCTTTTTACCCAAACCAATGCAGCAGTGGTTCAACAGAAATAAAAAATAACACCGCCTCTATTGCTGGTGAAGATTCTCAGTCATCCAGGTACAAATGAGCTAAATAAACAAGCCACTGGATTTTGTTTCCAAGTTTGAAGACATTTCGAGCCAAACAACCCCATTCCAAAGGGGAGGACCCGTTAGTCCGGTTCAATTTGCATGTTTTATCAGCCAAAACAAGGCTTTTAAATCTCTACAAAGCCTAAAACTCAGCACTATTGCTGGCATTTCAAATTGAAAAAGCTTCCTGGATGAGAAAGAAAAACGTCTTGAAACTTGGAAACAAAGTCTTTTTTTTTTTTTTTTACTTTTTTTGGAATTACCTCTATTGCTATTTTAGGTGCCAGACCTGCAACTGTGCCGTCGGGATTTTGCCAAAAGTCCACATACGCAATAAATACTCCTACGAGCAGACACAGACACTACTGTACATAGTATACTAATACATAAACTACTGCTACTGCTACTGCTACTTGTTTAACATGTTACATATGTACATAGAGTACCACAGGGCCCCAATATATCACACCCCATAGTGCTTTTTTCTTCTCTGCACACGTTTGATTTGATATTTACATGTGTGCCGCCTTCCTCCACCTTGCACGCCTGTGCCGGTACACTTTTGTCAGCTTTTGTCACTTTGAAGGCATTACCCACTGTCTACCTTTCAGAAAATCTTGCATTTTGAGTGTCTTCCAATTTTAAGATCTACTTCAACATTTGAGCTTGCAGAAACTATCTGAATATTTGAAAAGAACTTTTTTGTAGCTGTCCTACTGTAGTATAACCCTTTTTAGCAGACACACTATAGTCGATCAGAATCCATTATTAATCCTGTTATATCTAGTAATGACTTTGCTTACCAACTTCCAACTATTGAAGAGAAGCGGTTAGCCTGAAGTCGCTTTGGTAGAAGGAGGAAGAGTACCGCCTTTAGAGGAGGGATTTCCTGAAAAGTAGCAAATCACAGGTAGGTTGTTTTGTCCAGTGGGTAATGCTTTCAAAGTGACAAAAGTTGTGGGTGATTTATTGGGGCCCTGATGTACTTTATTTGGCATGTAAAATGTTTAACAAGCGAGTGAGGAGTAGTTCATGACAGAGGTCTTCAACTGGGGGTCTGTGACCCCTAGGGGATCCACAGAGGAACTGCATGGGGGTCACGAAAGTTTTGGTTGATTAGACTTTTTGCAATTTTTTCCACTAATTGAAATGTCTTTAAATACACATTACCATGAATTCAACACACTGCAGTGGACAGAAAAATGGAGGTAGAAGATGTCTTTCAGTCATCAATGCACACATTCAACGACACACAGGAAGCTGGGCATCGTTTCATTCACAACACCCGTCCCATCAACCAGGAATCAGAATCAGAAATACTTTAATAATCCCAGGGCGAAATTACTTTCATTACATGACTCCATCTTTAATAGATTGACTATAGGACCAGTTTGATATAACACACTTTCATTCAATATATATAATTAGGGGGTCCCCGCTCCATCTTGCCATCAGTTTGGGGGTCCTTGGCCTGGAGAACGTTGAAGACCCCTGGTTTATGAGCCTCTATTTAAAGCTGCTTGTAGGGAGTATTTCATGGGTGGGTAGACTTTTGGCAGAATCCCGACCCCATATGCATCCTGCAGAAAACCATTCGGGTGGGCAAAAAAAAAAGAAGAAGCAGGTATAAGGAGTCTGGAGGATTGGTTGGAGATTGCTTTCTCTGTTTAATCAAGATCTTTGAAATGTCATTGAACAAGACTATGTACTGACAAATATTGACAAAAAGAGTTTCTAAAAATATTAACAGCAGTTCTATAAATGTGCCAGTGCTATTTTGGTGTAAAAGAAAAGATACATTTTTTTCCTCTTTGTTTAAATAAATTTAACTATAAGCTTTTTCTTCGCTCTAAATATTACTATAATTGAAGTGTGAGAAAAAACAGCAGACTTTTTTTTTGTTACCAGAGGTACCTAAAAATGTTGCCAACAGAGACTCCTGCACACATATAGGTGCTCCTTTGTCACTTGGGTCCAGCTAGACGGTGCAGTTTTCAGGTCCTGAATGCGGTCCTCTGTAGGGTACAGTTTCATATGCTCACTCGGGCCATTTGTGTGTCGGTCTGATCCCAGGAGGCTCACATTTAGTCTCAGATGGTTTCAGGGTCATTGGGGCAGCAAACATACAGTGAGGTAGGCTAAACAGGAGCTGAATAGGTACAGTGTTCAGATATACAGTAGAAGCCTCAGAGAAAAAAAAAACATAGGATTGGACTTGTTGAATGCAAATAAACCTGAAGCAAACATGGAAGAAGACATGAATACACATGTTTAGGGAATCTTGTTATTGTGTTGTCTCTTTAAGACACATTAAAATTAGGCAAAAAGTATGCTTTTTTGTGTTAAGTATGGTGTGAGCAAGAAACCAGAAACACTGAATTAATTCTGAATTTTTCTGGTGAGTTAAAACCAATTCTGTCAAATAATGTAATAACAAAGTTATCTGAGTTTTCTCCTTTTATTGTTGGGCATCTTCATACAGATTAACACAAAGTTGTCTGCACATGTCCACACAGGAAAATCCATGCTGTTTTAAATCATATTCCATCCCACAGAAAATGTTGTTTTAATTTTTTAATCACACCATTTAACATATTTCTTAATATTTCTACATCCTTTGACGCTTAAAGAGATTTGGCATTTGCTGAATCTTTATGACAGCACATGATGAAAGGAGTAAATTCAGCTCATAAAAAAACTGAGCAGGGGCTCTTTGTTGACACTTTCACAGAAAGGTGCTTCCCAGCTGCATGCGAAAGTTGGAAACTGTGAAAAACCAAGAAACCTGGATGTCAATAAAATCAAACATTCCCTGCGATTCTCATCAAACTCTAAATCATCTCTAAATGTTTGTTTCTCCATGTCATTTTAGGATCCTTGACTTTCGCAGAGTGCCTCCGGTGGCAGGGCGACTTGTCAACATGACAAGTGAGATCAGAGATGTGACGCGTGACAAGAAGCTGTGGAGGACTTTTTTCATCTCACCAGGTAGAGATCCTGTCTGTTGCTCCAACCTGGCAGTGAGATGTAAGGCGATGAAACAAACTCAGAGGAGCAGTATTTAACTGTTTTCCTTTTGCTGCGAACCAGCTGAGCAGTCTGGAAATGACGTTTGCTCTAGAAGTAAGACCCATCAGGCAGACAAACCTCTGGTCTCCTCTTCCAAACAGCGGCGAAGGCCTGAGTGTGTTGTAGATATAGCGGAGCAATGCAAAAAGTGTACACATGGTGGCACTGTAGCTCAGCATTTTGTCAGTAAAATGACAGGAACTCTATTTAGGAAACATAAATAAAATAAAATAAAAATGAAGATAAAACATATAAAATAAAAAATCCAGAAAATGTAAAGTAAGAATATCTTAATGATGGGTAGAGGTGATGGGGAGAATAAAATCAGAACCTAAGCCAAAAAAAAAAAAAAAAATGGCAATATACCAAATTATACAAAACTATTTTAAGAATTGATAATACAAATGAATTGCAAATGAATAATAAATAAGATAGAGATTATTAATTCTAATACAGCAAAGAAATCGCATTTCATTCCCTTTATTACACTTATTCTTAATCATCTTTATTTGTAATTTCAACTTTGTACATTACAATGAAATCAGTCTGTCTTAATAACACTTAAGATTAATAAACCACTGCCAGGTTCTTTTTTATGTAAACCAGGATCACTGCTGGGTTTTTTTTACATCCTCACCTCTTTGTCATTTACTCTCTACGGCATCCACAATTTCATCGTCATCCATATCAACTATAGACAGGCATTAAGATGGCTGAAACACTGATGGCTTATCTGTATCTGTCTCCCCTTCTACTGCTTTAGCAAACAATGTCTGCTTCTACGGTGAATGCTCCTACTACTGCTCCACTGAGCACGCTCTGTGCGGTAAACCAGACCAGATCGAAGGCTCCTTAGCAGCCTTTCTACCAGACCTCAATCTGGCCAAACGCAAGACCTGGAGAAACCCCTGGAGACGCTCCTATCACAAGCGCAAAAAAGCAGAGTGAGCAAGTTTATTTTAATTACTCAAAAAAAGTTATATGACATCAATTATGGAGGGTTTTTTTTATTGCATGTTGGAATTTATCTAAATGCTAAATTTCATGCTTTCAGGTGGGAAGTTGACCCAGATTATTGTGACGAAGTGAAGCAGACGCCCCCGTATGATCGAGGGACAAGATTGCTGGACATCATGGACATGACCATCTTTGATTTTTTAATGGGTAAGCCGGCCAAATAATTTTGGTTAAACTCTCATAGTAATTAAAGTACCTATTATAACAATTATTTTAGATATATAAGAGATGAGGAATGTTTTATCACTGTAACACTTTCCTTTGTATTCAGGCAACATGGATCGTCATCATTATGAAACCTTTGAGAAGTTTGGAAATGACACTTTTATCATTCACCTTGATAATGGAAGAGGGTAAATATATTCAGCTGTTTTAATGCTTTCCTCTTTTGGCTTTAATTGTGTTGCCCTTGTGTCTATCTCAATAAAAGGTTTCTGGTATTTGAGAGTGCCTAAATACACAACACATTTACAATGTTTCAACAACAGATATAGTCTAATTATAAGGGATTTTATGTGATAGACCAACAAAATACAGTTTAGTAGCTTCATTTCAAATATTTAATGATTCTGAACTAATTGCATTTAAGCAAAACTGAGTGGCATGCAGCTCTGTTTATCCCTCAGTGCTTCAATACAATACCGTAATAAGTGAAGTGTCAGTCTCTGTGTCTGTAAAAACCTCAGAGTTTACTTAATACTAAGCAAACTAAACTATAACCAAGAAATTGGGCAGATATGTCAGTCATTAAATTATGTAGAAGTTTAAAGCAGGTTTAAGTAATTGATCACATTTAGTGTGCTGCAGATCACTGTTCAATTATAATGCCAAATTGATAAGATTATAATGGTAAAAGATGCAGGCCTAAATGTACATGTCTATGGACCTAAATTACCATGGCAGAGAAGGAGAGCATTAATCAGAGAAGCAGCCAAAGAGGCCTATGATGACTAAACAAGAGCTCAGGAGGGAACATTTGTTAGCAGGATACTTATTAGTCATGCAATCTACCAATATGGCCTGAATTGAAGAGTGTCTATAAGAAAAGTATTGTTAAAAGAGTAAAAAAAATAAATAAATAAAAGTTTGCAGTTTAAAAAGAACAAACCTTCCTTGTTCAAATGGGGCCAAACTTAAATAGTTGGACCTAAATAGAATACACTATAATGAACTGCTCCCCATGATGAAACATGGTGGTGGGTATATCATGCTGTGGGAAGGTTTTTCTCTGTTCTTTGTTTTTTCTGTTTTTATTCTTTTCTATCTATGTTGTTGTTGTATGCTGTTCGCTACTATGAGTTGTGGTGTCGTGTTAAATCCTCATAAATCACATTAAAGTTGTGCCATGACAAAATGTAAAATAGTTGAAGAGGCATGAGTAATTATCATTGAAATATTATTAATTGACATGTCTGTTTACTCTTTAAAGACTGAATACTGAATATATCTGTGATAAATCACATGTTCATGTTTTTCCCTTTGGTTGTAGATTTGGAAAGCACTCACATGATGAGCTGTCCATCCTCGTACCTCTCAGCCAGTGCTGCAGGTGAGATTTTCTGTCCATTTCCTGATAGATTCTATAATCTTGAATTACCTAAGCAAATGTTTTAAGGATTTTTATGCACACTCTAAGTGAAAAAAACATCTTAGGTCAGAAGGGATGTTATAAAAATGTCACTTTATCCTCATCCTTCAGTCTCATCCAACAACAATCATTCTTTGGGATTTTGTTTTATCTTTACAAAACTGCAAACAATAGTAAAACTTACAGTGAGGGAAATAAGTATTTAACACCCTGCTATTTTGCAAATTCAAATTCTGAAATTGTCATCATAGGTGCATGCCCACTGTGAGAGACATAATCTAAAAAAATAAATAAATCACAATGTATGATTTTTTTAACTACTTATTTGTGTGATATGGTTGCAAATAAGTATTTGAACACCTATCTATCAGCTACAATTCTGACCCTCATAGACCCTCAAATGCTTATTTTCATCACTGTAAGCCTCTCAGCCCATGATCTCCTAAAATGCAAACAGTAACACTGCTTGTCTTGCAGGAATCATATTTTTTTATATTTGTTTCTCGTCCTTATACAAACAAGTTTTCTTTCTAGATCAAACTTAACATTCTGCCATTAACTTCAGTTAGATTTTAACTTAAGTTAAGAATCTAATGAGAGTCAAAGTGTGGGGGTTAAAAAAATAAACTCTTTTTAAGAAGCTGAATGTATTTTTCTTGTTGTTACTTTAGGGTCAGGAAGTCCACTTACTTGCGTCTCCAGCTGCTGGCCAAAGAGGAGTACCAGCTGAGTTCACTCATGGAGGAGTCCCTGCTGCGGGACCGCTTGTCCCCTGTACTCATCCAGCCTCACCTCCTGGCCATGGACCGGAGGCTCCGACTAGTTCTGCAGGTTCTGGCGGGCTGCATAGAAAAAGAGGGCTATGTTAATGTTGTGGAGGAGGACCTCTCTGGGGACACAGCTACTCACAGGGGCCCGGGCCATAGGTAGTAAGGGTGAGAGTCGTACAGGGTGACAGCACTGACACGTAGCCCTAATGGACCACAAGCAGCATTGCCTGTTTACCTATTGGGATTGGACCAGAAATCCCACCTCTGAAATCAAGCTGAATTCAATGAATTCCAAGACTGCCGTCATTGCCTCTATAGAAACTGCTTTTAGGTGTGTTTGTATAAAAAATAAAATAAAAGATCATGCTTATGTGGAGGCTTTATAATTGTCATATACAGCCATATGTTTTACTTTTTTATTGTTTTGTTTGATCTGTTTAAGACATAAAGGAACATCTGCTGTGTTTTGGCTTTTGTCCTGGTATGTTTTATTTGTTTTTGCAAATACATAACCAAATGCATCACACTGACTCACTGACTGACTGAAGGGCATATAGTCAGACCTTTTAAGCTTTATCATTTATCGTGATATTACAGAAGACTTTCTTATAAACAAAACAAGATTTATTGTTTATAGTGAATGTTCCAAAGCGTATCTCATGCCTGGACGCTAAAGTCTTACACAAAGGAGAGTATGGGCTTGTCCAAAAAATGTTTGTAAGCTTTATTTCCCTTGGCACAAATTTACAGGATGACAAGCTAGATTTAACTACCTACTTCAGAGATTAGGTATGTATTTTACACTGTAGAACATGAAAATTCTTTTTTTTACTTTGCCTTAGTTGTCTATTTTATTTTGTTTCAATCTTGCACTACATGTATTTAAACAAAGAGCATAAACAAAAAAGTTAATACATATATACACCCTCTTGTGCAACCCATGTCTTTCCATCTTTAAAAAATGGTTTGTTTAATTTGCTAAGATTTAATTAAGCCTGTCTGCAGTACTAAGTCATTTTTTTCCTCTTTATTCTTTCATGCAAGATTTGATGATTGAGTTTTTATTTATTTTTGATTTACATAAAGGAGAATACCCTGCTGTTACTTATTCATTATACTTTTGTTTTAAATACTGCAAATTAGAATGTTCATCTTGAAAATTACATACAACTTTTCGAGAACTTATAGGTTGCTGATGAAGGTTCTCAGTCATCCAGGTCATAGTCATTCCGTAAAAATTCAAAAAATATCCACTGGACTTGGTTTCCAAGATTTGAAGACATTTCGCCACCTCCTTCCATCGTTAGCCTGTAATATCTGAACCTGTCTGTGATTCTAGGGGTCGGTCGTTAAAGATATAAGACTCAAACTCACTGCGGATCCAGACATTTGAATTGAGAAAGCTTCCTGGAAAGGTGGCGAAACGTCTTCAAATCTTGAAAACCAAGTCCAGTGGATATTTTTTGAATTTTTACGGAAACACTTATAGGTTGCTTTTCAGACCTTTCCTGGAACTTTCAGAATCTTTCATGGTAATTTCCGTCTACTAGTTGTATTAGGTACTCTCATTGATCTTCCATTGACACTACTAGATATTTGAAGAAACCCTTACAAACAGACCATGTATTTTCAGGAACATGCACTATACTTTCTGGAACTTTCAAGGAAAGCTTTATATTATTATTTAACTCATAATAATTAACTTGATTTACTTAAAAGTAAGTGAATTCATTTACTTACATTTAGGAACCAATGAGGTGAATTGAAACAAAACTTTATTTGACTATATTGTTAGCTGTTCCAGAAACCCCAAGGTGCTTTGCAGACTTTCCAAGAGAAACCACCTTTAAATCAACCCATGACAAACTCTGCCTCCAAAACTTATTTACAGTAAAGCTATTAGAAAGGCTCAGAAACATGTCAAGTAAGTTCTGAGAGATTTCAATTAAGGTTATATTATTTACTTGTAAAGTTCCAGAAAGGTTCCTGGATGTATCCTGGAAGTTTAAGGAAGGTATGGGCTGTATCTTGCATTGCTAACATCCTTTTTATTGTTTACCATAGAGATTGGCATTCCATGGTATATTTTTCTGTTCTGGTGATGCCAAACTACAAAGATGTTTAATTTTATAGGTTAAGTTGTGCAAGTATTGCCAGTGCAATTGTATTTGTTTATGTTTAATTTTCTAGGGGTCCTGTGTATTGGCTAACCTGGTACTTGTGCAATGGCAGATCTGCAGTACTTGAATGTTTTTGGGTTGGCAGTATTAACAGATTCCCAGAGCAGAACAGTGTGAAGTTGATTAAAACAACGTGCTTCTGGGTGAAAAAGGAAAACAACACCTCACCCAGACATAGGGATAACCATGGGACACTGTTTCATGTTTTTGATATTTTCTGTGTAAATACCTATTACTATTTGGAAGATCTATCAAGCTGCACTGTGCAGTGATTTGCTTCTGTTTTCTTGCATTGTTACTGTGAAGTTTATGACATGAATAAAGTGTGCAATAACAAAAAAAAAGCTGCACAAAATTGCCTGTATATTTAGATATGGCTGCAGATGTGTGAGCTTTTTTGCCTGAAGGGCTGCAAAAGGCGTTTAAAATCCTGTTGCTGTCCATGGTGCTGAAGATATAGAGCTAGTAATCTAGTGTTTTATGTGACTTGCCTGAGGTGCTGCTGGACGACCATAGCATTTCCGTCAGCAAGGGCCATTAATAGCGCAAACACCAGCACCAATTTTTCTTCAGCTACAATTAAAACAGAGCCACGTGGAGCATATGAGATTGTCAATGATAATAATTGGACCCATCTGCAGGGCCAGTAGTGGGGATACAAATGACATCAAGGTGAGATTTATTTGGGAATGTGCTTTGAATTATGTTTATTAGTGGATCCTATTTTTGCATTGAAACACTTGTTTTTTATGGGCAAAAAGCAACAATAAAAAAGAAAAAAACAATATATTCACCATTTTCAACTCAGAGTGAACAAATGTACACTCTTTTTGTCAGTAGAGGGAGCCAGTAGGCAGCTTTTCAGATTAAAAAACAAGTAATATGATAGCTCACTAGATGGCACTAGAGCTTTGTTATAGTAGCTACCTTGTTTACAATTGTGACGTGTTTTGTTGTCCTGAATTGACATCATAGCTGGGAATTACTTTTTGTGTTTCACAATAGATATTGTTTAGTGAGTTTTATAGAAGCTTGAGAACTAGGTTGAGATGGACATCCATCTGATGGCGTAACAGTGCAATTAAAGCTTCTTTATTTGAATAAACAAAAAGCCACCTAAAGACTGTGGATTGAATGTATATTAAATATATATATATACATTTGGAAAGACAGTAATGCTCTCAATAAAATTGTTTCCCCTTTTTTTTGCTTTTTTACTGAAAAAGCTATTAAGCTATTAAATCATATATCGAGATGTGGTGTACTTATTTTTGGTTATTGTACGCTTCCTAATTTTAACATGGTAACATTCTTAAGATAAAAAGTTTGTAAGACAGTGTCTCATTTGTCTTTGCCTTCAAAACGTCAAGAGTATCAACACCATTCTAGATCACTCCCAACGGGTATTGATGTTGTTTACCCACCGCAGCACACCAGCCCACATCCCCCACCTTATTCAGGGGCAGCTTATCCTGCCTAGTAACAACATCAAACTCTACTGTCCTGCCTCTATGGCAACAGAGAGACACCCTTTTTGGCCTGCTTCCGATTGATCCGAGGTATTACTGGTTGGATCCTCAAACACCCAATTAAATTAAAATGGATGTGCCTTAAAAATCTGAATGAATTTTATTTAAATAAATGTGTTTTACTATCATAGTTCATTTTAGAAATGCTCCAGAATTATGGTTATTGTTGGTGTAAGGGTGAAGGGTGTCAGGACTAAAGTCCCCTTCTGCTACAATAGCCACATACTTTTTAATAAGCAGCATGTCAACCGAATATGATTACAACACGGTTAAATTTCCCTTTGCTGTTGCAGTTTACATAGAATCTGATTTAAGCAATGTTGCTGTACTAGCTGTTTGAGGATGTTTTAAGAAAAGCTGTTCAAAACTTTTGCAGTATTAAACAAATTTTCATTGTGCAAATGTTTATTGCTATGCTAGAATTTAAGAATTAAATCATCTTAGTGAAAGAGGGAAACATTTACCTTCCACTTATGATTCTTTTTAAAGAATCTCTGTCTCCAGTCAAGATTTAGAAGGTTTTTATATCTAGGAATTATCGATATAATGGCCATTAGTTTAGCAGACTTAAAAATTGCTAGAAGTACAGTGCACACATAAACTCATAAATTATTTTCAAAATTGCCAAGCACTCTGCAACTATTTACTTTTTCTACAAGTAAAACTGATTTGATACATCCTTATATATTGTTTTTCAGTCAGCTCTGTCAACACAACAGCAAACAAACACATATACAACAAGATGTCAGTTTTAGAGCTCACATGTTAATATTTAGGGGGTTCCGGAGGGCTTTATTTCAAACTACAATCTCTTTCTGACACAGCAACCAAACATGACCAAAATTTGACAGGAAATCTTAACGTAAGAAGAAACATCTAATTTTTATTGTCATGGCTATATGAAGTGGTTTTTTGTTTTACATATTTGTTAAGGTGATAACATTGCTGTAACAATTCCCAATAATTGCTGGCCTTCAAAACAGAGAGAAAGTGTGTTAGTAATTAGAAAGAGTTACAAGAACTATTGTTAAAAGTAGCAATATGGAAGGCAGAAAAGTGGAAGTACACAAGGTCAATTGTGGAAAGCAGCAGGTAGTGGATAAGATAAGTAAAGAGGAGAGTACAAGGTGGAGTAACAGAAGGATTGATGCAAATGTTTATGGAAACTAATATTGGAGCCTCATCAACATATTCTATATACAAGTCTATCTACCTTAAAAGGGTACCCAAAATACTCTATTATGTCGACTGAAAAAAATGCAACCTGTGTCAAAAAGGTTCTTGAAAGAGCAAAGTAAAATGCAAAATCTTTATTTTAGCTAAAACAAAGCAACAGATGAGACTAAGCCTTAGCAAACTCCAGGATTGGCTAAACTGATTACGTTGTAATTCCATGTAGTTTCTTCTATATATGTTCTCCTACTACACCTAACCTTTTCAGTCACTCGCAGGGCAATCTATAGAGAAGTCAGCACGTATGCCATCATCAAAGAAAACATACAGTAGTCAGGACAGGCTTAAATACGTGCATGCAGAACATGGGTAGCAAATGTACAGGTTTCAGGTGATTTCAGTAGGGTGTTCCAGCTCATGGTTGGCTGTCTGGGTGAAAGTGGTGGGGATGCAGGAGTTTGCCTTGCAATCAAAGGGTCATTGGTTCAAACCCCAGCTCTGGCTTTTATTGTTGTGTCCTTGTTCAAGACACTTCATTCACGATGCTGGTGATGGAAGTCAGAGGCCCACGTCGCAACTGTGTAGACCAGCCTCTCTTCTGTCAGTGAGCCTTAGGCCAGCTGTGATGGTGCGATGTAGCTTGCCCCCATCAGTGTGTACCTGGATGACTGAATGTAGTGTAACGCACTTTGGTCAAATCTCCTGACTTGAAAAAGTGCTATGTGTCAAGGCTCAGAACAGGGGATCCACTTTTCTAAGCAAAAAGACAATTAGATTTCTCAAAAACTTATATTCAGTAAAAGGATTCGCTGTGAAAGGCAAGGAACCTCTGCAGGGAGAGAACACAGGTGTGTGACCATGTCTGGCTAGCAGAGGCTGAATATGAATGTGTGAGTCACTAATTTGGTTCAGTCCATGCCCAGAGGAAGAGGTTGGTTCCAGCCGTTCGGCTGTCGACAAGACGATGCCCAGAGAGTCCCAGAAGTTAAAGTCTCTGAGACCGCAGACAAAGGAAGGCAAGATAATCCAGAGGGAGAAGCCAAAGTCAGTGTCAAGGATGTGCTCAGGAGTCAGAGCCAGGAGATCAGAGATCTAAGGAGGTACCAAAGGGAAATCCAGGACGGTGTCAGGAATCAGCTCCAGGTTCTGTAAATAGGCAGGTTACAGCAGGAGTCCAAAGACAGGTCAGGCAAACAAATTAGAATGGGAAGAGGCAGGCTCAGAAGTTCAAAGCTAGAATAACAAACATTAAGTTACGCTAAAAAATTCTCATCAAGGGCTTGAATAATCTGGCACTGATGACTGGTAGAAGGCAGGTTAAATAGAGGCTGGAGCACGTGACATAGATGAATGTTATTGAGAACTGGGGAAAGCTAGTTGAAATGAGAATGAAATGAGTATTCAGGCCAG